TGCATGGGGGTGTAGTGGTACCAACACTCTTATATGGGTGCGAAGCATGGGTTTTTACCTCTTAACTGTCCAAACGTAAATCTACATTGTTACCGCTAGCGCTCCAAATGTAGATTAATGTTTTATTTTTCCTGCCTCCAAATTTGGTACGACTGGCCTGAGATGCCTGGTCAGTATAGAATGGGTCTAACACTCGGTGTGTGTGGTATTAAAAATATCTGGGGCCACTTGGTACCTTGTGGGAGCACCCGTTCAACTGAGCGCCAGCTAGTGCAAACAGCGCTTCAAACACCAGGGATTCACTGATGTCTTGTTGTATTAACACTCCCCTTTTGAGAGAAAAGTGATGGTGACCCAGAGTTTAGTGGCTCTTGAGATGGATGTGGCCACAAGTGGTTGAGGAAATATAAAAAACCTGGATAATAACCCGTGTGCAACATTCTTTCATTTTTTATACCACTGGTAGTGTCATCCTGCCAGAATGTCCTATAACCTATGCCCAGAGTAAAGAGAAACAATTCGGGAACATGTTTAATATGTGTTTGGCAGGCAGGCTGGCTGGGTGGCTGGCTGGTCGGCTGGTTGGTGGGCTGCTGGGTTTGTGGGTTGGGTGCCTGGCTGGCTGGTCAGCTGCTGGGTGGGTGGCTGATTAACTTTAGCTGTCTCTATCTTCATCTGTCTGTATCTCTGTATCTATCTCTGTGTCTATCCCTGTCTCTGTCTATCCCTGTCTCTGTATCTCTGTCTCAGAGGTACACATAAATAGTTATTCATAGTGTAACTTAACCCGTAAACGGTCCAAGCAGATCTACGTTCACATGTGTAGCGCTACAAAAGTAGATCAACGTTTTTTTTACATATTTTCAAATATAACCAAAAAAAAAAAAGTAGATCAAAGTTTTTTACACGTTTTCAAATGTAAAAGAACAAAAAGATCTACTTTTTTTACATACTTCCAAATGTTGAAAAAACGTATATATACGTTTGGACCGTTTACGGGTTAAGTAGAAAAACCCAAAAATCCAGACAAAGTCCTATACTGTGCTTGTAGCTATAAGGCATAATAAGCATGACTGGCAAGTAATACGCACTTTCACTTGTTCAGGAATCAGACTTGATTATGCATCGTTGTGTAATACCTGTTGGTTCATAAGCGGCTCTCTCTCTGAGATGGAGAGAGAGACGAACAGGCAGAGAGACAGGAGATAGAAATAAACAGAGACAGAGTTAGACAGACAGGAAAATAGACACAGTGACAGACAGATAGACAGACATGTTTATGTGTAACGGTGAAAACAAATAAAGCCAAGGCAGTACACGATCATCAAGTGTCACCCCACTCCTACACTGTCAGCAGTGGAGGGACACTCATCTTACACTGTGCTTCAAGGAGTTTCACATACAGTGGACCCCCGGTTAACGATATTTTTTCACTCCAGAAGTATGTTCAGGTGCCAGTACTGACCGAATTTGTTCCCATAAGAAATATTGTGAAATAGATTAGTCCATTTCAGACCCCCAAACATACACGTACAAATGCACTTACATAAATACACTTACATAATTGGTCGCATTCGGAGGTAATCGTTATGCGGGGGTCCACTGTATAGGAATACAAAATATTGTCCAGGGAGCTGAGAGGGATGGGGGGGTATTAAGATGGTTTGAACATTTAGAGATGGTGCAAAACAGGACTTGGAGCGGTGTATAAATATGTAATGGAAAGGTCATCCTGGAGAAGGTTGGAGGGAAGGGATGAAGGTTTAGTACAGTTATAGAGGCTAAAATGTTGTGTAGTTTTAAAAATAGGTTAGATAAATACATGAATGGGTGTGGGCGGGTGTGAGTTGGACCTGACTAGCTTGTGCTACTAGGTCTGATGTCGTGCTCCTTCCTTAAGTGGAAGTGACCTGACTAGGTGGGTCATTGGGCTAATCCAGGAGGGGGGGAAGACAAGGACCTGCTTCGCATAGGTCAGTAGACCTGCTGCAGTGTTCCTTCTTTCTTATGCTCTTAACCCTCTGACTGTTTTGGTCGTACATATACGTCTTACGAGCCAGCGTTTCGGACATATATACACTCAATAATTTTAGCGGCTTCAAATCAAGCAGGAGAAAGCTGGTAGGCCCACATGTGAGAGAATGGGTCTGTATGGTCAGTGCGCACCATATAAAAAAAATCCTGCAGCACTCGGTGCATAATGAGAAAACAAAACTCCAACCGTTTTTTTTTTGGATTAAAACGCAGACTTTGAGGTGTATTTTCATATAGCATTTATCGTTGTATTCTTATTTTCATGGTCTCACGTGATAAAATGGAAAACATGTTACAGAAATAGAGGTGATTTTGATTAGTTTCACAATGAAAACGACCTTGAAATTGAGCTCAAAGTAGCAGAAATGTTCGATTTTTACAAATGTTCAAGAGTAAGCAAATCACACCACACGTCCAATACACGTCAACTGGGTAATCTAATATTCTTTCACTAGTGCACTGATATTATTTATACAAGTTTTACAATAATCCAATAGTCTGCATAACGGTAAATCTTCTATTTTTTGTATGAATAAAAAATCAAAATAGAAAGCAATAGTAATATAAGAGGGGCCTAGAGACATGACTAATGAACAGAGGATATGTTATTTTAGTGCCAAGAATGTCTACATTGTTTATTCTGGACCCTATTTTGAAATTGGCATCTTTTTTAATTTGCATGAAATTGGCCAAATTGCCAATTTCTGACTGCTTTATTGGGTAGTTCAAATTGGTAAATGGGAGGTTTCTTGTACTCAGCTGATAGATAAAATGGAGTTCTAAAGAAACAGCTATGAGTTTGGTCAACTGGAATAACGCAATTGGCCAAAAATGGGGCTCAAAGTTGGCAAAATCGCCGATGCGTATATGTCACCGAGACCGCTAACTTCGCAGGAGCGTAATTCCATGAGTTTTCGACCAAATTTTGTACTTTTGGTGTCATTACCATCGGGAAAAGATTCTCTATCATTTCATAAAATTATTTTTTTTTTCCAAAAACTTTTCAACATAGAATGACAGTTTCAGAAAGGGGCTTGCGACAGTCAAAGGGTTAAGAGATTTGGACATACAACAGGCACATGTGTGCATAGAGGTAAGTGGTTCTTACATCCTGAAGAGCTGTTGGAGGGTGAGCAAGGTAACCTTATAATCAAAAGCAAGTGGTAAACTGAAAAGTTACATTAATGAAGGAATTCAGGGACACCAGTTAGTCAGACTTGAGTCCTGGAGGTGGGAAGTACAGTGTCTGCATTCTGTAGGAGGGGTGGGGATATTGTAGCTTACCTGGAGTATACCTGGAGAGAGTTCCGGGGGTCAATGCCCCCGCGTCCCGGTATGTGACCAGGAGGAGTATCCGAGACATAGTGTCAGTTGAAGTTTCCTTATTGGGTTGCCCTACCTCACTTGGAGACAGCTGGTGTATTAAAAAAATATATAGCTAGGCCTTGATTAGTACGAGCTCAGTTAGTGAAAAATTAATACTGGTTCTTAACCTCTAAATTTATCAATTGTGCACAAAAATTACATATAATTTAAACAATATGAATTCAAATAATGAACAGTATACCAAAAATTAGGGTAAATATCAGGTGAGAAACAAATATTGAATCTCAATATTAAATTAATTCCGTCAGAAACCTGAATAAATATACAGTAGACCGTCATTTAGCACAAGTTTATTTGGCATGATTTGGTTATTGCACGAATGAAGAATTGCGGCACAATTTTATGTAACACGTATAATGAATTCAAGACGGTTCCGTTTGTGGGAAGCAAAAAAAAATTCTCTTTTGCTCAAGTGGCCGCTTTGTTGTGGAGCAGCCGGGGAGCCCTCCCACCATCCCCGGCCACTCCCCGACACCACCCCACCATCCCAGCGTTCGTAATTCATACGTGTCCAGTCAAGTCTTTCTCTGCTACAAGGCAGCTGTGTTTATGAATTATATTATGATATTTTAATTACTACATCTTGTATCTACCAAGCAATCACAACACCCAGTAGCCATACCAGTGTTGCTGAAAGTGGCACGAACAGATATAACAACTTAAGTCTTAAAATTAACAAAGAAACAAAGATATTAGACAAGAGATAACCTGTAGCCATAATGAAGTGTTACTTTGTACACAGAGAAGTTTACACGAGTTTGTGTGACTTACTGAATGACTGACTAAACTGAATGACTTACTAAGTGACCTGACTTACTGACTGACTGACTGAATGACAAAGTTAGACACTCCAGTACAACCATCAACTTCAGTACCAGCACCTCCACCATCCACCTCAGCCCAGTACGACCACAACATAACTCTCCACTCTCTTCACAATCATCCACAAACACCAGCACCCACAATTTAAGGTAAGAAATACTACTATTATTTCTTACCTTAAATTATAGGTGTAGTTGTAGTTCACAACACTGAACTACAACTACATATTCACTTTTATTTTTGTAAGATGTGGAGGCCTAAAAAAAAAAGTTATTTGGCTTTTTGGGCTCCCAAGAATGTAACCCCATTTTTCCCATAAGTTCTTCAGTTCATCTAACATGATTTTACCTAACACAGCATTTTCAGGAACGTAACTACCATGCTAAATGACGGTCTACTGTAACATCAATGGTATAAAATACAGCCTCTCCTCACTTAGTGACGTACTCATTTACAGATGCCTTGGACTTACGATGGGCTCTCTGACCAGTATTTAAACCTAAATAATGTATATTAGAGCTGACTTCCTCAATTCTGTTTATTACAATATACAGTACACTGCTGAATAAACATTTAAAAATATACCAGAAATGTCATAAATGGTGTAAAGGTGACATTAAAACAAGATCAAAGAGGGTCGACACAAATCCACTACCATTATAGTATGCTCCTCATTTAACGAATAATTCCTTTACCAACGTGGTCTTAGGTCCCTATCTCCGTCGTTAAGTGAGGAGAGGCTGTTACCTGGAGGTTACCTGGAGGTTATTCCGGGGATCAACGCCCCCGCGGCCCGGTCCATGACCAGGCCTCCCGATGGATCAGGGCCTGATCAACTAGGCTGTTACTGCTGGCCGCACGCAGTCCGACGTACGAGCCACAGCCCGGCTGATCCGGCACTGTACTGAAAATTGATGAATTAAATGCATATGGAATATCTGGGTATCCATTGCATAGACATTACACCTTCTGTGTCCCTAGATTGTATTAATAAAGCCACTGGTTGGCAAAACATTTACAAAATAAGGATACCAAGACATTGCACATGTCTAACTCGTCAACCTGAAATCTATGTTAGTATAACATAAGTTACATTTATAGAGTAACTTGCAATGTACACACACTGATTAATGTTGCAATAGCAAGGCTTAAGCTTGGTCATAAGTACTTATGGCAGTTTGGCATACAAGAAATCAAACTAAATGCAAAGTACGTGGTCATCTTCATTGTTATCTGAACAGTATGTGCTTGACTGTCCACCATTAATATACCTGGAGAGTATCATGTACAGGCAGGGCCAGCTTTAGAGCGCTTCACTTGATAGCGTTTCACTGATGCAGCAGCTTTCAATTACAGTAGAACCTCTACTTGAGAGCACATCCACGTGCGAGTTTTTCCAAATACGAGCAGTCGACGGGTTGATTTTTTGCTTCCATACGCGAGCAAAATTTCCATAAGCGAGCAGGTTCCTTGATGCTGGTGAGGGGCTCTTGATCTTGATCTAGGGAATTGTATCTCATTTGTTTGCTGGACTATCTTATTGAAACTTGGGCAATGTATGATGGAAAGATGCTTCTTAACGTACACCAAAAATGAAAGAAATCAGAGCATAAATAATGGAGTTCACTTCTCAGCAATTAGCCACCCTTTAGCAGCATTTTCGTATGATTTTTATGGTTGTATTCTCATTTTTTGGCCTCATTTGATAGAATGGAAGATATATTACAGAAATAGACATGATTTTGATTGCTTTCATGATGAAAAGTACCTTGAAATTGAGCTCAATGAGGGAGAAATGCTCCTTTGCTTGACTATGTTCATTCCATCATGCAGTCGTGAATGGGTTGACATTATTTATACAATTATTGCAATAAGGCATAACAGTAAATCTTATATTTTTTGTGTGAATAAAAATTACAAATTATTTATATTGTAATAATAATAAAAATAATAATACGTATAATAATAATAGTATAATAATATAATACAATAATAATATAATATGTATAATAATAACATATATAATAATAATAATAATAATAATATGTATAATAATAATACATATAATAATAATAATAATATGTATAATAATAATACATATATAATAATAATGTACTACATAATAATAATTATAATAATAGACGGCTTCAAAAGGCCGTCACTAGATGGCAGTGTTTACCACAACAAAGAGGGAGCAGTTGTTGCCGCCTCCACCTGTTACATAATGACATATTTTATTCATTCTAGAGTATATATCAGGTTTCTATGTTATTTATATTATTCATTATGTCATACTAGATGAATTGTGATAGATAAATAAGCCGTAGAGTTATGATAGTGAAATATTCAAGGAGTATTTTGTCCTGTCTCCAGATAAACTCTCGTCGGCCGCCGCCGCCACCAGACATACACAATGACATATTTTATTCATTGTAGAGTATATATCAGGTTTCTATGTTATTTATATTGTTTGTTATGTCATATTAGATGAATTATGATAGATAAATAAGCCGTATAGATGATATTAGCGAAATTACTCAATAAGTATTTTGTTTGGTCTCCAGACAAACTCTCGTCCACCACCGACACCGCCCATACCACTACATGAATTACATATTTTATTCATTTTAGAGTATATATCAGGTTTCTATGTTATTTATATGTTTATTATGTCATATTAGATCAAGTGAGATAGATAAGTAAGCTGTAAAGTTGATATTAACGAAATTATTGAAGCACAGAATTCCACTGGAACGGATTAATTGCATTTCAATTTATTTAAATGAGAAAAATTGACTTTGCAAACGAGCAAATTCAGTTGCGAGCAAGGTCATGGAACGGATTAAACTCGCAAGTAGAGGTTCCACTGTATACCCATTCTTCATTTAGTTGGACTTCCTACAATATATTCACTACTCACTATAATCTAAGGGTGAAAATATTTTAAGGTAAATAATGTGTGAACTGTACAGTGGACCCCCGGTTTATGATCAGCTCCCAATGCGACCAATTATGTAAGTGTATTTATGTAAGTGCGTTTGTATGTGTATGTTTGGGGGTCTGAAATGGACTAATCTAATTCACAATATTCCTTATGGGAACAAATTCGGTCAGTACTGGCACCTGAACATACGGTGGACCCCCGGTTAACGATATTTTTTTCATTCCAGAAGTATGTTCAGGTGCCAGTACTGACCGAATTTGTTCCCATAAGGAATATTGTGAAGTAGATTAGTCCACTTCAGACCCCCAAACATACACATACAAACGCACTTACATAATTGGTCGCATTGGGAGGTGATCGTTAAGTGGGAGTCCACTGTACTTCTGGAATGAAATAATATCGTAAACCGGGGGTCCACTGTACTATATGCATTTTTTAGGCTTAGCTCTACTGCTCACTTAATATGATAGTATAAACATTATATCAGCCTTAAAAACTGAGGTTGGAGAGTTGAAGGAGGAGGTCTTGCTTCTCCAGGAGGAGATTAGGAGGCTGAAGGTCCACCTCAATGGGCCTGGGAGAGAGTGTGAGGTGGTTGGAGATGTGGGGAATGAGGCTTCTAGCAGTGAGGTGCAGTCTGTCTCTCACTGTGAGGAGGCTGTAGGTGGGGAGGTAGCAACGGCTACCAGCAGTGAGGTGCAGCCCAGCACCTGCTACAAGTGGCGAGTTGTTCACAGTAATGGGAGGCGCATCAGAGTAAGGAAAGTTAAGAGTGAAGATCTGAAGGTAGGAAATCGCTTCTCTGTTCTCCAGGATGAATGTACTTCAGTGGCCAGTGAAGGTAAGGGTACTACTGCCCCTGCTAATGAAGGTAAGCGCATTCTTGTGGTTGGTGACTCTCAGGTAAGATATGTTGACCGTGCTTTTTGTAATAGGAATAAGAAGACGAGAGATAGAGTGTGCTTCCCTGGAGCTGGTGTTGGGGACATTGTCAACAGACTGGATAATATCATGTCAGGTAATGGGAACAAGCCCATTATCTGTCTCAGTGCTGGTGGAAATGATATTGGGAAGGGTAGGAGAGAAGAGCTGCTAGATAAGTACAGGTCAGCTATAGATTTCATTAAGTCTAAGAGAGGGATCCCAATCATATGTAGCATCTTGCCTAGAAGGGGAGTAGGAAATGAATGGTTGTCTAGGGCAATTGGTGTAAATTGCTGGCTAGACAGATACTGCAAGGAACTTGCAATCCCATTCATTGACAACTGGAACAACTTTTATGGCAAACATGATATGTATGCAAGGGATGGGGTTCATCTCTCTGGGGCAGGGGTGGTAGCACTTGCAGACTCGATTGAGAAGGCCATTGGTGAAATGCCTATGATTTTAAACTGATGGAAGATAGAGGTATGGGTGTGTGTGGGAAAACAAGCAGGTTGCAACACTAGGGTTGGAAACAGTAAATGTATAAAAGGCATTCAGCATGAAGTATAAATAAAGACAATAGAACAGGTCAGCAAACAAAGGGTGACAGCAGAGGGCAGCAAGGGACTAGCTCCTTAAGGTTTACTATACTAATAGCAGGAGTGTTAGAAATAAGATAGATGAGCTAAGATTAATTGCAAGTGCAGGAAACATAGATATTATTGCTATAACAGAGACCTGGCTCAATCTGAAAGATAGAGAGATGCCCTCTGAATGTCACATACAAGGCTATAAATTATTCCACACTGACAGGGTCAACAGGAAAGGTGGTGGAGTAGCGATGTATGTCAGAGACAATTTAAATTGTTGTGTTAGACAAGATATTAAATTAGAAGCGTCAGCCACTGAATCTGTTTGGTTACAGCTTCTCGAGGGCCGAGAAAAACTAATTTTGGGTGTGATTTACAGGGCCCCAAATCTTGATAGGAGTGCAGTAAACTTCTATGGGACGAAATTCGTAAGGCATCTACATACGAAAATGTTGTGCTAATGGGAGATTTCAACTATAGACAGATTGACTGGACCAATTTGACAGGAAATTTAGAGTCGGGTGACTTTCTTGATACGATCCAGGATTGTTTTTTAAAACAGTTTGTGACAGAGCCAACTAGGGGAAATAACCTCCTTGACTTGGTTCTTGCCAGTAGGGAAACACTAATTAATAATCTTGAGGTTAATGATGAGCTTGGGGAGAGTGATCACAAATCACTCAGTTTTAACATATCATGGAATTCCCCTAATAATGGCAATCAAGTCTCCGTCCCTGACTTTCGCTTGGCTGATTTCATAGGACTGAAAAATTACTTAGGTGGGCTGAACTGGAATGACCTGACTAGGGGTCAGGTAGGTGGTGATGGTTGCCGATATGATGCTTTCCAGGGCATAGTTCTAGCTGCTCAGTCAAATTATGTTCCAAATAGGGAAATCAGATCAAACAAAAATGATCCTAAATGGATGAACAATAGATTAAAATATCTGATTGGTCAAAAGAGAGGCATATATAGGCAAATCAAAAGAGGAGAGGGGCAATTAAGAAATCGATATATTCAGTTAAAGAGAGAAATAAAAAAGGGAATTAGAAAAGCAAAAAGAGATTATGAGGTTAAAGTTGCAAGAGAATCGAAGACTAACCCAAAAGGATTCTTTCAGGTATACAGAAGTAAGATCAGGGACAAGATAGGCCCACTCAAAAGTTCCTCGGGTCAGCTCACTGACAGTGATAAGGAAATGTGTAGAATTTTTAACACATACTTCCTCTCAGTTTTTACATAGGAGGATACCAGCGATATTCCAGTAATGATAAATTATGTAGAACAGGACGATAATAAACTGTGCACTATTAGGGTCACAAGTGACATGGTCCTTAGGCAAATAGATAAATTAAAACCTAACAAATCCCCAGGCCTGATGAACTGTATGCAAGGGTTCTAAAGGAATGTAAAGAGGAGCTTAGCACACCTTTGGCTAATCTTTTCAACATATCACTACAAACTGGCATGGTGCCAGATAAGTGGAAAATGGCAAATGTGATACCTATTTTCAAAACAGGTGACAGGTCCTTAGCTTCGAACTATAGACCAATAAGCCTAACCTCCATAGTGGGAAAATTTATGGAATCAATAATTGCCGAGGCAGTTCGTAGCCACCTTGAAAAGCATAAATTAATCAACGAATCTCAGCATGGTTTTACAAAGGGGCGTTCCTGCCTTACGAATTTATTAACTTTTTTCACTAAGGTATTGAGGAGGTAGATCATGGTAATGAATATGATATTGTGTATATGGACTTCAGTAAGGCTTTTGACAGGTCCCACATCAGAGACTATTGAGGAAAATTAAAGCACATGGAATAGGAGGAGAAATTTTTTCCTGGATAGAGGCATGGTTGACAAATAGGCAGCAGAGAGTTTGCATAAATGGGGAGAAATCAGAGTGGGGAAGCGTCACGAGCGGTGTTCCACAGGGGTCAGTGTTGGGCCCCCTGCTGTTCACAATCTACATAAACGACATAGATGAGGGCATAAAGAGCGACATCGGCAAGTTTGCCGATGACACCAAAATAGGCCGTCGAATTCATTCTGACGAGAACATTCGAGCACTCCAGGAAGATTTGAATAGACTGATGCAGTGGTCGGAGAAGTGGCAGATGCAGTTTAATATAGACAAATGCAAAGTTCTAAATGTTGGACAGGACAATAACCATGCCACATATAAACTAAATAATGTAGATCTTAATATTACGGATTGCGAAAAAGATTTAGGAGTTCTGGTTAGCAGTAATCTGAAACCAAGACAACAGTGCATAAGTGTTCGCAATAAAGCTAATAGAATCCTTGGCTTCATATCAAGAAGCATAAATAATAGGAGTCCTCAGGTTGTTCTTCAACTCTATACATCCTTGGTTAGGCCTCATTTAGATTATGCTGCACAGTTTTGGTCACCGTATTACAGAATGGATATAAATTCTCTGGAAAATGTACAAAGGAGGATGACAAAGATGATCCCATGTATCAGAAACCTTCCCTATGAGGATAGACTAAGGGCCCTGAAACTGCACTCTCTAGAAAGACGTAGAATTAGGGGGGATATGATTGAGGTTTATAAGTGGAAGACAGGAATAAATAAAGGGGATGTAAATAGTGTGCTGAAAATATCTAGCCTAGACAGGACTCGCAGCAATGGTTTTAAGTTGGAAAAATTCAGATTCAGGAGGGATATAGGAAAGTACTGGTTTGGTAATAGAGTTGTGGATGAGTGGAACAAACTCCCAAGTACCGTTATAGAGGCCAGAACGTTGTGTAGCTTTAAAAATAGGTTGGATAAATACATGAGTAGATGTGGGTGGGTGTGAGTTAGACCTGATAGCTTGTGCTAACAGGTCGGTTGCCGTGTTCCTCCCTTAAGTCAATGTGACCTGACCTGACTAGGTTGGGTGCATTGGCTTAGGCCGGTAGGGACTTGGACCTGCCTCGCATGGGCCAGTAGGCCTTCTGCAGTGTTCCTACGTTCTTATGTTCTTATGTTCTTATATGCAGTTGAAAGTGAAAATAAAGGCTATTTTTCACTTTACAGCTCAGCTGTACAGCAGCAGCCGAGAACCTAACCTGCTGTGTAAGTGGGGACCTTCTGCACAGCAGACAGGAACCTAACCTGCTGAATAAGCAGGGCCTTCCCGCTCTTTATTAAAATGCCCTAAATTTGCCTGCAATAAGTGAAGAAATTGTGAAGCTCGAAAGTACTGTTCGTAATGACTTTCTTTGTTATTGTTCAGGAGGTTCCTGTGTCTCCATATGTCCTTGTACTACTGTCCAGTTTGGATGCACAATAAATTAGCCACTTCGATGACAAAATGTAAGAAAAATAAATCATCTCACCATCATCTCTGGAGGTGTCACAATCTTCAACTATTCCATCAGAAACTGAAAAAGAATCACTGAAAATAATCAACACATTCAGGAAAAAGGACAGAAAATTATAAGTGTATAAACACGATAATCAAAAAATAAATTGATAAAATACCTGTTGTACCTTCGGTGGGAAACGGCCGATTTGTTGAAAGACGACGACCTGTTGTACCTTTCAAGCATAACAAAATAAATGTACAATGGTGATAATGTTTGTTATGACTGCATGCATTAACATGTTTAGCATTATTATTATTATTATCAGACTTATGATAATAATAATAATACAGTGGACCCCCGCATAACGATTACCTCCGAATGCGACCAATTATGTAAGTGTATTTATGTAAGTGCGTTTGTACGTGTATGTTTGGGGGTCTGAAATGGACTAATCTACTTCACAATATTCCTTATGGGAATAAATTCGGTCAGTACTGGCACCTGAACATACTTATGGAGTGAAAAAATATCATTAACCGGGGGTCCACTGTACATGTAATCGCCTAACATGCCAAATAAAAGACTTACCACATGTGGAGAAAATTCTCCAGTAAAGGGAGGTATCTCTCAGCCCTCTCAGCTCCCCCTCAGCCCTCCTGGAAGGAGCTAGTGGACTCTTCCTAGCAAACAGCTTTATGAGGAACATATGTACCATAGCATCACGAGACACTCCTTCCTCTCCTTGCTTGAGTTCTTGATCAACAACACAGTGAAGGTTAAACAAGAGTAATTACTTTTTCTCCATAGCAGGAAAATTAACCCTTAAACTGTCCAAACGTAGATCTACGTTTGCATGCGTAGCGCTCCGACCTTGATTTTCTCCATAAGAAAGCATGTAAAAAAAAAACGTAGATCTACGTTCGGAGCGCTACGCGAACAAATGTAGATCTGCGTTTGGACAGTTTAAGGAAAAACCTGTGCCCCACTTTATTTACAGGTTGGGACTATTAGGAATTCTAGTCTATATCTAGATAACAAGACATCTACCCTCTTGAATTGAATACTGCTGCAATGTGTAGTAAGGAAGGTATATAAAACTGAACTGAGCAGTTCTTTTGTGCGAAGGGTGACTGTGGGCGTTTGGGCAAAGCGACAAGCTAGGTTGAATTCAGACACAAGAGCGTGAACACAAGTCACAAATCTCCCACTGAGAACAAAGAAAATACGTACTGACTTTGTGCAGTAAACTCTGAAATACTGTCAATCTCCCCTAGGAAAACTAGTGTTAAAAGAAAACACAAGTGTATCATCCACGGTATGATCCCGATAAGTGTAAAGTTTGTGTCCCACTATGCATTCAGGTGTTATGAACACAGGGACAAGATCGTGTAATGAAGGAAGAATGTGACTCCCTGTCAATGAGTGAGGACATAACTATGCACCTGTAGCAGCTTACTCGAGACATCAATACCGGGGTCAAACTTCCCCTTCAACAAACTAGCAAATATTGAGTCAGTTACAATACCCAGGTAAGTTCAGCCATACCCGCACCTAATTACGTTTGCTGTAGCTAATAGGTAGGGGTGAGATTTGACTGGAATTGCCAACAGATCCCATCATGGGTGAGTGATTCGCCCAAACCCAAGTATGTATTACTATGCATTTCAGATGATACTGAAATGCTTAGATATACACTCCTTTGGAGCAAACTGGTATCTAACCCACTTATTAATCTACAGTCCCGGTGGGACCTGTAATGGCACCCTGAAGGGATGTCCAGGGAGAGGCTGCTGGACATCGTACTGTTAACAGATAAGTACCGATTGCTATATGTTGCTTCATGCAGGAAAGTGTACTTATCTAACCAGTTCTCCACACCAGGCCTACGGCACAACACAAAACCTCCTGCGCAACACAAAACACACCTGGTCAACAGGCATGATCCATACACAGCTTTAAGAAGAATTATGATAAAGCTCATGGAAAAGGAGTGGACCGAGTAGTGACCTGTGAAGAGACGGTGCCAGGAGCTATGAATTGACTCCTGCAACCACAATTAGGCAAGTACAACACCAGACTTGTACTCCTTATAACACAGATGGCAAATATATATCATAATTCACACCTGCACAAAGATATTCCCTATGAAAGCAAAATATTCATCAGTGCTACACACACCTATAAACAAGCTGCGAGTACATGGAGAATACAGTAAATGTTAGGGGCCCAAGGCTATTCAAAACCTCCCATCAAAGGGGGATTACCAATCGACCTGATATTTTTAGAAACTGACTAACTGAGCTGTGATTTGTATGTTGTGTTGTGTGCAGCCTGCAAGAACAGCCTAGTTGATCAGGCCATGGAGGCGATGACCCCTGGAACACATTCTAGGTAGGCCTACAAACACCACCAGACCTACCACACACCACTAAGACCCAATACACAACACCAGACCTACCACATAATACCAGACCTACCCAGTGGTAGACCTACCACATAATACCAGACCTACCCAGTGCTAGACCTACCACATAATACCAGACCTACCCAGTGCTAGACCTACCACATAATACCAGACCTGCCCAGTGCTAGACCTACCACATAATACCAGACCTACCCAGTGCTAGACCTACCACATAATACCAGACCTACCCAGTGCTAGACCTACCACATAATACCAGACCTACCCAGTGCTAGACCTACCACATAATACCAGACCTACCCAGTGCTAGACCTACCACATAATACCAGACCTACCCAGTGCTAGACCTACCACATAATACCAGACCTACCCAGTGCTAGACTTACCACATAATACCAGACCTACCCAGTGCTAGACCTACCACATAATACCAGACCTGCCTAGTGCTAGACCTACCACATAATACCAGACCTACCCAGTGCTAGACCTACCACATAATACCAGACCTACCTAGTGCTAGACCTACCACATAATACCAGACCTACCCAGTGCTAGACCTACCACATAATACCAGACCTACCCAGTGCTAGACCTACCACATAATACCAGACCTACCAGTGCTAGCCCTACCACATAATACCAGACCTACCCAGTGCTAGACCTACCACATAATACCAGACCTACCCAGTGCTAGACCTACCACATAATACCAGACCTACCCAGTGCTAGACCTACCACAAAATACCAGACCTACCCAGTGCTAGACCTACCACATAATACCAGACCTATCCAGTGCTAGACCTACCACATAATACCAGACCTACCCAGTGCTAGACCTACCACATAATACCAGACCTGCCCAGTGCTAGACCTACCACATAATACCAGACCTACCCAGTGCTAGACCTACCACATAATACCAGACCTACCCAGTGCTAGACCTACCACATAATACCAGACCTGCCCAGTGCTAGACCTACCACATAATACCAGACCTACCCAGTGCTAGATCCACCACATCACTAGACCTACCACACAACACCAGGCCTACCACATCACTAGACCTACCACACAACACCAGGCCTACCACATCACTAGACCTACCACACAACACCAGGCCTACCACACTGACTTTTGCAGAGAAAATTCTCTAGTAAAGGTGTTATCTCTCGGCCCCCCTTAGCCTTCAAAGGGACTTGGCCCCCCTTAGCCTTCAAAGGGACTTAGCCCCCCTTAGCCCCTCTTGGAAGGGGCTAGCAGACTCTTCCTTCGTCACAAACATCTTTTTTTCAACCACATGAGTACCAGGTACCTCCATACTCTCTCCTTGCCAGAATTATCTTGGTATTGTTAGGTCTCCTGTGCCATTATCTTGGTACTGTTAGGCCTCCTGTGCCATTATCTTGGTACTGTTATGCCTCCTGTGCCATTATCTTGGTATTGTTAGGCCTCCTGGGCCATTATCTTGGTACTGTTAGGCCTCCTGTGCCATTATCTTGGTACTGTTAGGCCTCCTGTGCCATTATCTTGGTACTGTTATGCCTCCTGTGCCATTATCTTGGTATTGTTAGGCCTCCTGTGCCATTATCTTGGTACTGTTAGGCCTCCTGTGCCATTATCTTGGTACTGTTAGGCCTCCTGTGCCATTATCTTGGTATTGTTAGGCCTCTCGTGCCATTATCTTGGTACTGTTAGGCCTCCTGTGCCATTATCTTGGTATTGTTAGGCCTCCTGTGCCATTATCTTGGTATTGTTAGGCCTCCTGTGCCATTATCTTGGACTTGTTAGGCATCCCATGCCATTATCTTGGTATTGTTAGGCCTCCAGTGCCATTATCTTGGTACTGTTAGGCCTCCTGTGCCATTATCTTGGTATTGTTAGGCCTCCTGTGCCATTATCTTGGTATTGTTAGGCCTCCTGTGCCATTATCTTGGTATTGTTAGGCCTCCTGTGCCATTATCTTGGTATTGTTAGGCCTCCTGTGCCATTATCTTGGTATTGTTAGGCCTCCTGTGCCATTATCTTGGTATTGTTAGGCCTCCTGTGCCATTATCTTGGTACTGTTAGGCCTCCTGTGCATCTTGGTATTGTTAGGCCTCCTGTGCCATTATCTTGGTATTGTTAGGCCTCCTGTGCCATTATCTTGGTACTGTTAGGCCTCCTGTGCCATTATCTTGGTCTTGTTAGGCCTCCTGTGCCATTATCTTGGTATTGTTAGGCCTCCTGTGCCATTATCTTGGTATTGTTGGGCCTCCCGTGCCATTATCTTGGTACTGTTAGGCCTCCTGTGCCATTATCTTGGTCTTGTTAGGCCTCCTGTGCCATTATCATAGTCTTGCTAGGCCTCCTGTGCCATTATCTTGGTATTGTTAGGCCTCCCGTGCCATTATCTAGGTACTGTTAGGCCTCCTGTGCCATTATCTTGGTACTGTTAGGCCTCCTGTGCCATTATCTTGGTACTGTTAGGCCTCCTGTGCCATTATCTTGGAATTGTTAGGCCTCCAGTGCCATTATCTTGGTACTGTTAGGCCTCCTGTGCCATTATCTTGGTATTGTTAGGCCTCCCGTGCCATTATCTTGGTACTGTTAGGCCTCCTGTGCCATTATCTTGGTATTGTTAGGCCTCCTGTGCCATTATCTTGGTATTATTAGG